GTATCTTTGGCATTTTGTCCGTCATAGGAAACAACCGCTCGGGCACACTTAAAAATTCAATTAAATTCGGTTAAAAAACGCCTTGAAAAGTAAAAGCACGGCATATAAAACTCTTTTTCAAGAACGCCTAACCCACTGAAAACATACTCAAAAAGCCTTAATTGCCATTGATTTAGGAACATTTTTTTTATTACTAATTGCGGCTTTTTGGAAAGACTAGAAAAATTAGTATATTATGCCTAAGTATATTTTGGACGGTAGTTTAGATATTGAACCTTTAATAAATGCTCGTAAATTTCTCAAAAAAGCTTTACAAGAGGCCGAAACTGAATTAGAAATTGCCGGTGCTATTAAGGCTTTTGAAGTCTGCCATGAGTTAGCTTGAAAGTTCTGCCAAAAAGTTTTAAAGTTAAGATACATTGATGTTTTTAGTCCCAAAGAAACTTTTCGAGTTGCGGAACTAGAAGGTTTGATACCTAATGCTGAAGTATGGTTTAAATACAGCGAAAAGCGAAATATTACCGTTCACACTTATAGTGAAGACATATTGGAAGCAATTTATCCCATCTTGCCCCAATTCTTAAAGGACTTTGATCTATTAATTAAAAATCTTAAAAAGATTTAATATGGCATTGCAACTAGAAAAAAGACATTGAAAGATCGTCTATGATATTCTAAGCAAACACCCTTATCAATTTTATGCTTATGGCTCAAGAGTCAAAGGAACAACCCACCGAACTTCTGATCTTGATCTTTGTTATCAAGAAGATATTCCCGATTCTTTAGTTTTCGAAATTAAAGACGAATTCACCGAATCCAATCTACCTTTTATCGTGGAACTAGTCAACTGAAAACACATGCGTCCAACTTTTCAAAAAGTTATCCAAAAAGACCTAGTACTTATCTCCAACCCCTCCCCCGACTCTCTTCCTCGCCAACCAAAAATTATTACCAAAATTAAACCAAAGACCAGTAATTCCTAATTGATCCGGACCTCTTTAAATCACTTACTTCACCTAATCAAATAACCACTATAGCATTTTTCAAAATTAATTTCCGCTTTTAATTTTTAATCTATTTTAGAGTCAAAACATTTTTCAACAAGATTAAGTTTAGGTGAATAGCCAAGTAAAAATTTCAGTTCGGCATTTCTTTTAGTTGCTAACTCGGCAATAGTTGACAATTTAGCCTTAGTTAAAAGTATTAAAACCTAACAAAGATAAAAGAAATGTACTAATCTATGATTGTTCTATTCCTAAATATTTTTAAATATTTACTTAAAGAGTATAACTTCGTAAAATGAACCCATGATTGATCTTTACTAGTTAACTCATCAGAAACTCCCATTTCAAATCTCACAAGAGGGTTAAGTTGGGGTAGTTCACTTAGTTAATTTGATTAATCCCCTCACTACTAATTTCACACATTCTATTCGGTGGGGAAACTGTGATATATCACTAAACACTTGAAAATCAGGACAATTTTCTAAATTATGTTCTTTCTTTTCCACCATCGCTTCACAATTATTTAGTATTTTTTGAGCAAATTGTAAATTTTTCTTTTCTAAACCGGAACAGAGAATATTAGCGGCCGCCACAGTAATAAGACAAGACTGTTGACCGGAAAATAAGCATTTTTCCAAATAATTATCTTTTTTTTTTATTAGTAAGTGAATAATATCACCACAGCCTGCTTCTAAACTATGAAAAGTATCAAAAGGCACTTGCCATTCCGCACTCTTTTTCTTTAATTCTGCTAACTCTACTTGCTGACTGGGCTGGCGGTAATTATCTAAGATAATTTTCCTTTTTTCTTCGGGAGAGTAAATCATATTTATTTTTTGGCGGAAGTGAGAGGATTCGAACCTCCGAATATGGATTAGATATTACTAGCTTTCCAAGCCAGCCCCTTCAACCGCTCGGGCACACTTCCTATTTTTTTATTTTATTTGGGAATGAAATTTATCAATCAATTCACGGGCTTTTTTATTTATGGCGCTCGCATTCCCAACTTGCTCGGCAATGGCTCCGGAAATTCCCCCGCCAAAACCAACATAAGTGTTAGCAGCATTAACAATTGCACTGGCTCCGTGGAGATTTTTGTCGCGGATATCTCCTCCCCCCGCTATTACTGACACTTTGTTTAGTCATTTATCATAAATTTCATTAGCAAATTTTTCCAAGACTGCTTTTTCGAAATGTTTTGTTGGATTACCTGCTCAATCAATAAAAATAATTTTTTTTAGTTTTTGACACTTTTCTAATTGGTTAATGGCACCACGAATTATTCCTTCCGCTAATTTTTGCGGGTCGCAACTGCCAAGATAAATACCGCCACCAACCAAAGGAATGGCCAATTTTTCAAAATTGTTTCTTTCGGCTAGGATAATGGAGTTTTGGACGGATTTAACTACACAATTAATAAAATCTTCATCGCTCTTAAAAAGGTCTCGGGGCCAAGGGGCCGCATGAATAATATTCGCAATACCTTTGCTATCAAGTGGTGAGGAACCCCCACCCAAGCCATCCAAAGTATCGGTCAGCAAGGCCGAACCGGGCAATAAACTGTTCTTGTTAGTCTCGCTGAGTTGGTTATAGTCAGTTCCCACCGAAGAAATTGCCAAAGGCGGATTAACTTTATATTCAAGTTCTCTTTTTGTCGCTATAAGGGCAGGATATTTATCGTTCGGTTGCTCAGGCAGCGGAGGGTTGTTGGGAGTATCGGAGGGGTCTGGACTTTTATCGGGTTTGTTACTCTCTATTTTTTTCTTAATATTTTTAATTTCCTGTTCTAGTTTTTTAATATCTGACTGCTGAGGAGAATTATCTTGCTTAGTAATTTTATTTACCTTATTTTCTATCTCGGTTAACTTATTCTCTAACTGACTTTTTTGAGTATTATCTGATAGATTTTTAAGTTCATTTTTAACCGAATTTAATTGAATTTTTAAGTGGGAAGTTTCCTCTTCCCAACTAGTTTGTTTTTTATTCCCGACGGAATTATTTTTCGGGCCCGCGAAATAAATAATAGTTCCTATTCCTAATATCACTATTACTCCACTAATTATTAAAATTATTGTTTTTTTTTTTTTTTTGAGATTTCCATATCACATTATTACTCATTATCCTTTTTTTTGGCTAACTCTCTTTCCAGATAATATAACTTGGCCCGACGAACTTTTTGATTAATTTGGCCAATTTTTTTAATACTTACTATGAGGGGCGAATGATAAGAAAAAATGCTTCTAATTGCTACTTTTTCACTCCCCTTGCTTTCTTTTAATACGGAAAAGGTATAACTAATTTGTCCGGGATTTTTTTGGGTAATTACGGTGCCTTTAAAGTGGGTCAAGCGATGTTTTAGTGTTCCGTCGTTCTTGTCTTTTTCATTTTTATTGTAATTCTTGGTAGTAATTTCTACTTTGTCGCCAACTCGTAAAGGGGGCAAGTCAGTGCGAAAATATTGTTGAGTTATCTCACGAATGGTATCCATAATTTATTTTTATTAGGTTAACTGTTTGCTCGGTATAAACAAGTGAGCCAGGACACTAGGGGGTTATGCTGAGAAACTTTTTCAGACAATCACTATTACAAATATTCTTATCTTGTCAAACTTCTCGGGTTTTGACACCACAAACTAAACAAGACAATCTTTTTTTCCGTAAATCTAAAATCTTTTGTAATTTTTCCTCAACTTTTACTAATCATTCCTTGGCTAATTGACCAGACTTTCTTCATAATTTCTTTTTATCAATACTGCGGATTTGTTCACATAAGATTTTACTTTCTCTTTTCAAGGGGTCGTCTGCAACAACTTTTCCCACGTATAATTCAAAACTCCGCACCGGAAATATCCGACTGGAAACTGGTAAGATAATTATTCGAGTATCTTTGGCATTTTGTCCGTCATAGGAAACAACCGCTCGGGCACACTTAAAAATTCAATTAAATTCGGTTAAAAA